ACAAGCAATCAACAGAAATAATTGTAGGTATGATTTGCTAGTCTTAATTACCAGCAATCAACAGAAACAATTGTAGGTATGATTTGCTAGTCTTCATTACCAGCAATCAACAGAAATAATTGTAGGTATGATTTGCTAGTCTTAATTACCAGCAATCAACAGAAACAATTGTAGGTATGATTTGCTAGTCTTCATTACAAGCAATCAACAGAAACAATTGTAGGTATGATTTGCTAGTCTTCATTACAAGCAATCAACAGAAACAATTGTAGGTATGATTTGCTAGTCTTCATTACAAGCAATCTTTTTTTCTTTCTTCAGGTCACCGTTTTAGAACCTTCTACGATTTTGGTATCGTCATACTTGACATTCTGTATTGTTATGGAGAAGACAGTGGCGAGTACCTGTGTAAAGCAACGAACAAGCTTGGAGTTGATATCACGAAAACAACATTAATGTGTAAATGTGAGTATCTGTATATCTTATATGTGAGTATATTTATATCTTAAAATCATCTTTGTCACAAAATTAGTTCTCATCCAGAACTGTTCTTATTGATACTAATCAAACATAATAACATTTAGAGCAAAGCTATTTTCACACTTTTGATGGATCTTTTCCATATCTTCCGCCGTTGATTGTTAATGATGAAGACTTTTTACTGAATTATAGCCAGAACTGTTTCTCTCTCTTATTGGCAGTGAAAACTCTGAAGTGAATCATACCTACAATTATTTCTGTTGATTGCTGGTAATGAAGACTAGCAAATCATACCTACAGTTGTTTCTGTTTAATACGCAATATAAGGCATTTAACAAATAAAAACTATAGTCATTCAAACAAAGAAACAAAGAACCCACAAAGCACATTCCAAGAAGAATTCTCGAGTATACAGGTTAAGTTGACATTTTTGTTGTCTGTTCAAACAGGGATAAGATATATTTTAGTAAATAATGTTATCTAAATGTAGTAATCTATATAAATATAATAGTACTGTCTGTTGTATGTCCATGTAACTACTTCGCAGGGTGTGGATGGATCTTCACCAAAATTGGTATGGAGGCTCATTAGATCCATGCGGGGTTACATATAAATTTTCAGTTTTGTATTTTTTGGTTTTTATGGGCGTTTTTGTACCAGTACTTTGCCCCCCTGTAGATGGATCTTCACCAAATTTGACATGAAGGTTTGTTGGGTCCATGCGGAGATACATGCAAGTTGCGGTTTCCCATTTTGTGTTTTGCTGTTTTTATGGACGTTTCTACAATTACATATAAGGGAAGCAACTTTTCACGTCCTAAGATAACCTTTCATTAATCACAAATTTACATAAGTTCCGTCCAGGGGACGTGTACTCCAGCTGGTTAGCAATATGATCCAAACATCATAACCAAAATTGTATTTTTCGACTTTGTACATTCTCTATAATTCCATATATGTTTTATTTTCATTTAAAAAACAAATAAACAAGGGGACGAGAAGTTTCTCTATATTCAATTAACAACGAATTCAGAAAGAACTTTAAAAACCTATTAAACAGCAAACATATTAACCAACGTTTATGAATGAATTAATTACGCCATACCATGTTGCAGAGGTTTTCCATTGAAGAACCATTCGACTTTCAGGTTGGGATCATTTATAGGAGACACCTGGGTTTCAAAATGAGCACTTTGTCCTTCCACGAGGGTAGTCAAGGGTTGAATCTGAGTCTCGAACTTTGGCGGTTGGTTGACAGTTAGCTCTGTTGACACTTGGCTCTGATAATGAGAGTACCCTTCTAGAGCAGCGATTTTCTGAAGACTCTGAGGTTGGAGAGAATCACGGAAGATTTTCCCATGTCCTGAAAAACAGGTAGAGCAATAAAGTTGTTTGCTTCATTCAATTCCTTTAATCCCTCCCCCCAAACTAAATGCTATAAACGATAAGAATAAAACTTAGAATTGGAATTTTCCATCCGATTGCTAGCTTATGTACAGGTGGGCTAAGTGGTCAGGTCTGAGACACCTAAAATTTAGGGAACTACTGATCAGAAGGAAGACAGACAGATAGAACCATCCATCTCCCAGCTTTTTCAATTGAATGACTGGATTGAATTTCACTTTTATAGCTACTAATTGCTGAAATTACTGCGCTTGCTCAGGGGTATACGTACCGTCTTTAACCTTGGATCCTTCGATACAGAGTGTAACACATTTAGAAAGTAAACACGTGGTACTTCGTTTTCAAAACTGAATATTTTTTTCGAAGCACGAACACCATATTAATCGGTCAAACTGCCGATGTACCGATACTTTAGAGAAATTACTTATTCAACTAGGGTATTCCTAGCATAAGGAATGCGATTTATCATCAAATACGTCCGTAAATGACTATGTTGTCTCGTGTCGAGATATATTCGTTATACATATGAACAGGGATGGATTAAGGACTTTGTGAACTCGATGCAAGTTTTGTAAAGGGCCCTCAGAACTGAACTTCAAAAATATGTCACATACAATTCAATACTATTTATTAACTACAGTTTGAACAATACATAAACACAAGCGATGGGTAGATAATATAAAAAAAGCAACGTTAATATTTATAACAAATATAAAGTAATGACAAAGTTTTTTTGTTGTTAAATAACCAAACATATATTTATGAAATAACAAGCTGTAAGAATATGTTAATGAAAAAAATTACAAAATACATTTGTATACATGAAACGCCTAAAATCGCAGTTGTCATAGTGACACAGTTGCGAGCATATATTTCAATGAGGCATCCAGTTTTTATTATTTTTTAAATATTTTTATTTTATGGGGAGCCCCTGAACCAGGGAACCCGGAGAAATTTATAGTTGTAATGATGTATAGTTTTAACATTTAATAATAAAAAGCTTTTTAAAGTGTTGTGTAATTTAGTTTTACAATTGATAGAGCATAATATGTAAACGTTCTACTTATTTATGTCTTACGTATGTACATCAATCACAAGAATCCGATTTATCAAAAACTGTTCAATGAAAGGGGAGAAGATGACACGTGAATATAAGCTGTTAAAGCAAGTGTTTAGCTTTTAGTTTTATCTCGCAAGGAAAGCAAACTTCATCATCGCAAGAATAAAAACAAACCTCATCAAAACATAGCACCATTTTATCTATTTAACAAGTTATTCTTAATACAGTGTTTATAAGAGACTTACCAGTACATTCTACAACACACCGAGTGGTGTCAGAACCATACTTATTGGTCGCCACACAAATGTATTCTCCCGAGTCCTCCACGTGAACAAATGAAATATCCATGACAACATAGCCAAAGTCGCTCAGCGTCTTAATTCTAGAACCTAGAGAAAGCAGAAAGTCACGTGAGTATTACAGTTTCTTTTTGACATGGCAATTTTTACACCACGTGCAGCTATAAATGTTTGTTGTCATATTTTTACGTTTTATGCAGAGCATTACAAAGCACGCTATATAAACAATGTCCATCGAAAAAAAACTCCATGAAGATAATCTATTGTGGATGTTCACTAATAAGAACAGACTGACCGGTCTAAACGCATTTAGTCATTATCGCTAGCCAGTCTTTTTGATGAATATAGACAATGACATAGTGGTGAATGTTACACTTACTATCTCGAAGAGGTTGACCATTGTGGAACCATTCGACCTTCATAGCTGGATCACCAACAGGTACCAGGGTACATTCGAAATGGCCACTGGCTCCTTCTTTCAGACCTACCATGCTCTTTAGCTGGGTAGTGAACTGTGGCCTTTGACCTCGGGCTCGGTCAACAGTTTCTAATGTGACTGTGATTTCAGCCTTGCCCCACTTGTTGGTTGCTCTACATGTGTACTGTCCTGAATCCTCAACGACAACTCCCATAATTTCTAAAACAACCATACCAAAAGCATGGATGGTACGGATACGGTGCCCTATAGAAATGAAGATGTAGCTTGATTAAGAATTATGTATGTATGTATGTATATATATAGGGTAACTTATCATCCCGACAAAATGATCAGATATAATGGGACAGAAACATACTCACTTGCTTTGAGTGGTTTTCCATTGAAAAACCATTCCACCGCCATCGTCTGATCCCCAGCAGGGGTTAGAGTGGCCTCAAAATGGGCAATGTCACCTTCGTTCAGGTTTGTTAAATTCTGGAACTGTGACGTGAAGATTGGAGGATGTCCTTCTTCGTCTGGTATACCTTCAACTGTTTTAAGTAGAGATTCTTCCAGTGTCTGTATACTCTCAAGGCCCCGCTCTCCTTCAGGGTGAAGGGTACCTTCGTATATTGTGCTTTTACCTGAAAAACATTGACTTCTGTTTATTAGCAGAAATTGGTCGAACTCCTTTTGGGATGCTGAAAATAAAAGTATAATTCTTAATTTAAGATTAATATTCTCATTTCATTAAATTTTAGTTATCAAATCAATGCTACGTAAAATAAGATTCAATAGAATATAGGTTGAATAGAAGATAAAATAGGTCAAGCCCCAAATTTCAGCGTTATAAGCCTTCACGCTTACCACCGAGCCACCAAGAAACCAACCGAATATAATATTTTTTTGTTGCCAAACTAAGGAAATTGTACTGAAATATTAAATGCTTACAGTTATAATTGTTTTATTCTTCAAAAACAAACACCAAGGGAGATTAAATGTATAAGGATAATTGCAGATATCTTTGAAGCCCCATATGTTTAATTATTGTTTTTTTTTGTTT